AGGTTGACTGTTCAAACCCATCAGCTGCTCCTTGGAAACCCTATACAGTATGGCTCTGAGTCAGAACCAATTTAAAGGCGCTTAACACCAACAACATTCATTACCAACAACATTAGCAGCAATGGGCTGAAATCCACCTACTATTGTGAAGCTGGCCAGGACCCAGCTACATTTTGTTCTGTTATACAAAGGATCTCTAAGAGTTGAAGACTACTAAAGGACACTTAACAACAAAATAACATTCATTAGAAACAAATCACTAGATCCAGTGTACAGTCAAGTAAAGGGGATTATAAATGGGCATGAACACCAGGAGGTGAGATTCACTGGGGACAATAAGGAATAAAGACAGATAAACTGGAAAGCAGGCTAATCCAGATCAAGGAAAGCTGTGAACACAACTCAAGAACTTTAAACTCTTCCATTTGACTCAGGGTAGAGAGCAGCAAGTTTCATGTGTAAGCCTACTTAGGCAAGATGAAATATTGGCTAGATAGAATGTGGAGGATCATCTTAAAGACCAACAGTTGAACACCAAAATTGAGAGGACAAACGAGTTACAAATTTCACAAACAAAACTATTCTATAAGGTGATAATGATCACACAATTTTATAGAAGATAGTTATCTACTTTCACTGAAAAACTTCTTACAATTTACTTTGACAATACAGTCCAGAAAATTCAGAGTGGACAACTGATTTTTGTGATTGTTTTTATGTCTTGGGGTAGGTGATAAGGTTTGCTCTCTCTCATCAGCTTTCAAAATGATTTGACCCGAATTCACAGTAAGAAATATATTTTACATCACAGCTCAGAATACACACATATTTATACAAAACTTAAAAAAAAAAAAAAATCACAGAGTAATACTTAACAGTACTGTTAGCATAGTGGGTTGCAAGCTGGCCTCATAACTACAAGGTCAGAAGTTCCAACCTACCCGGCACTCTGGGAGAGAAAGATGAGGCTTTCTGCTTATGTAGATTTACACTGAAATGTCATACTAAAATTTTGTTCTGTTCTATTTCATTAAAGCTGGTAGCAATCACAATCCACCGCTGGATCCCATTTTGCAGTTTGAAAAATATTGCTGTTCTAGAATATTAGCTTAGAAATCAAACTAAAGTTTAGCATTTCAGACCAACAGGTATTTTTGGTGGTAAAGTTTCCCAGAAATCAGATGAAAACATTATGTTCCATGCAGCCTAGTCCAAAGCATAAAAGCAAAAAGCCCAAAGCTCATCAGGCAGTAGCTGGAAGCTGCTTGAATCTGTAGATGTGCTTCAGGTTAGCCCTTCAAAATACAAACCAACTGGCAATAGAAAACTGAAAGTTGGAATCCTCCCTTTCTTGTTCTAGTCATTTACTATTTAGGTTCTGGTCCTAAAGGAGTCAGATCAAGATTACATCTCCTGCCACCCCTACTCCCAATTTGCCTCAATTTTACAGGTCTTGCACTTCTCCTAAGTATGCATTTCCATAGGACAGAGGTCTAGTTGTGAAAGTACAACTTGCTAGCCATAACCACCAGCCTCAGGGCTTCCGCAGCACCTCTCACTGTGCCAGGTACCAACCGGAAACTCACCGGGTTGAAAAAGGGGATCAAGCCCTTTTGATCTTTATCAGTTGAAACCTGATATTAAGGCTTATTCCAAGACTCCTCTGTAACCCTCCAATAAAAATCTCAGGTTGTTCTCCTGACCAGAAATGTTGATTGATGTTACTAAGGAATGCATGAGGAAGAAAAATAATCAAATTTTTTCATCCTCAACTGTGTGTTAAATTCCAAACCTGCCCTAAGGAATTCACAGTCTTTAGGGAGAGACTGGAGTCCTGGTGTGGTACTGTGGGTTAATGCTCTAGATTGCAAAGTCTGTTTGAATCACATGGTTGGTGGTTCAAGCTCACCAGCCACTCCTTGGAAACCCCATGCAGAGTCTCTATGGTTCAGAACCAACTCAATGACACTTAGCAACAAGATGGAGACTAGACCACAAATCTGAACAATTTTGAGTGCAAGACGGCAAGAGTTTTAAAAGTCTTTGCACTACTTGGTTTCAGAAAACACTGCTTGCCAAGAGAGGTCTGAGGGAGACTTTCTTGAGGATCAGTGACTAAGCCTTGAGTGATGTTGGCATTTTGGGGGAAGGAGTGTAGAGCACCAAAGCTGGAAAGGGTGTTGTTTGAGTGAGATTGGTCTGACAAGACTAGAAGGTTTGGGGTGGGGAACACCAGTGTAAAGGGGAAATCGGGTCCACCCTTGTCTATTATGAACACTGGTGTAGACAGGCCCTGGCAGCTTCATGTGTCACGGAAATAGACAGTTGTACATATTTCCTCAGGAAAATAGTTAAAGCAAAAATTATGATCACACTCAACCCTTTCCTCTTAGTCCTGCCCAAAGTCTCCCACGTCCCCACAAGGAAGAGAGCAGTAGGTCAAACGCGTTTGTTTATTCATTAATTCAACAAGCATTTCTCTAAGTAGTCTTTGTTTTCAGAAACTCCTGCCTTTCCGGAGCACTGCGTATTCCACAACCAAGGGGCCCCCTAGATGCTTGGCTCAGCAAGACCACAGCATCACTGGCAGGGAAAGGTGCAGACTCTGGGAGAAAGCATCTCAGATCAGCATTCCAAGGAAGGCAGTGCCTTTGCAAATACTGGGAAAACTAGGCAAGGAGAGAGAGAACTCTCAAATCGGGAGGTGAAAAGGAGTGTCTGCGAAGGGAACACTAGGGATTCTTTAAATCGCTTTACGGGAGGCTTCATTTTTTACGGGTTTATCTGCTGGTCAGGATGTGCCTCCCGCCCCCCTTCTCTTAGCGTTTTTCATTTTCATACAAATGATATTCCAAAACTGAGCGGCCAACCGACCTAATCTCGTTAATTTTGAGAGTGAAAGCTAGTTCAGATGGATTAAGAAAGAACGGGGACAGAAACCGACTACCAGAAAAACGTTGCTGCATTTCGCCCAAGTTTGCGAGAGAAACCCCGATATATAAATCACAAACATAACAGGCACTAAAGGGCTGGGTGGATGGGATGTGTCCCCAAAAAGTCTCGAGGAGAAAGCAGACTCAGTAACGCGGACTGATGGAAATTTGAAGGAAAATGCTCTCCGAAGACAATCGCATGTTTTGGGCACCAATTGGGGCTGAAACGAATAGGCAGAAGGAAGCAACCAGGGGTCTTTTTCAACTGATGGGGAAGCTAAAGAGAACGAGATTTGCTTTGCTGAAGGGTCGCAGGCGCCCGCGGGATGGGCTCGGCAGGGCTGGGTGGGACGAGTCAGCGCCGGGGAGGGGGTGCGGGGGCGGGGGGCGGTGCGGTGGGAGAGGCGGGGCCTGGGGACCGGGCGGGCCGGGGGCGGAGCCCAGGTGGTGTTGATACACAAAGAGAAGCCACCCGGCTGCCGCGGCCCCGCCTCCTGACGCGTCGTTGCGGACAGCAGCTATAACCCGCTGCTCGCCGGACTGCTCAGGAGTCGCGAGACGCAGCCGCCCGGGGGTTCTAGTACCGTACCACCACCCACAGCCCGACCACGCGTTTCCGCACACTCGCGCCTTTCCCTTCAGACGGCAGACGCCAGAGGATTGAGTCGGCAACTTGCCATTTTAATTTTTTAATTAAAATTATTTTTCTTGTCTGTTGGTTTTAAATTTAAAAAAAAATTACAATAATTGTTTCGACGGACAAACCCCAACTGAAACCTTTTTTTGTGAGGTTTCCGGGACACAAGGAGCAGAGACCACAGAGGTAACGGGTGCTGGGGTCGTCTCTGCGCCGGCCTCCGGCGAGTGGGGGAGGGGCTTTTGGGAGGGGCGGCGGTGGGCAGGCAGCCAGTCGTTTCTCCCGGTGCGGGCATTTTCGTCCGGAGGGGCTCCGTTCTGGCCCGCGCCGCCGCACGGGGTCGCCGCTCGGCCGGCTTGCCAGGGGGTGCAGGGCGGGGACCGCGTGCTACTCAACGAGGAGCTGCATCCTCCTGTTAGGGGGAGGGGAACCACCCCGGTCCGCGACTCCGCTGCGGCAAATCTTGTGACTGATTTGCATTCGTAATAATTTTTTTAAAAGGTTAAATCCAAAGAGTCAAGCATCTGGAGGTGGCGGAGGTGGGTTTGGGCTTTTATTGTAATAGAGGCCAAGATTAAGGAAGAGGGCCCCGGAACGTTTGACAATCTACGATCGATATTGCATCAGTTTCCTTTCCGGGCAGAGGAGGGGCTGGCTGCGTAAAGTGCTGGCCAGCCAAAAGCCTCTGGATATGGGCACTGGATGAGGACACGGGTGTGCACGTGTAAACAAACCTACAACGTCCAGTGCATGCACGGGAATGGCCCCTCTTGAAAGCGTTGTCCACCTCCATCTGGAAATGCTATCTGCCGCGGAGGCATTTCCCCATTCGGGGGACCCGGGCATTTTCAAAGACAGACTGTTACGTGGCATTGCTGTTAACAAATGCTACAAACGGAGCCGTGCTCCTGGGTTGCTTGCACATCTAGCAAATGCTGGGGGCGGGATGTGTGCCCTGCGTGCCTGTGCACGACTGAAGAAGCTGGAGGGAAAAGCCAAACAGAGCCTTTTCCCCCTCCCTCACCCCTCATCTCCTCCACTTAGACATAAAATAATGGAGAGGGTGAAATCCTAAAATCCTTTTGAGAGTGGGGACCCTGCGTCTGGAGGGCGCAAGCTTCTGCGGGCTTAGCGTTGCGGTGGGATTATCTTTGTTCTCGCCGGCTCTGTAGTCTGTACTTTTCCGCCCCTCGCCGCGCCCCCGCCCCTCGCGATCGGCTGGTACTTTTCCACTCGCCTGGCCGGGGATGAATCAGCCGCGCTGCACAGTCCTACGGCGTCACGTGACCCGGCAGGGCGGGCTGGCGGGCGGGTGCTGCAGTCCTGACGCGCCTCTTACCTTCTCAGGCAGCCTCGAGGACCGGTTCCCCGCCAAGGACAAAAGGAGTCCAGCGCTAATCGCTAACACCCGATTCCTTCCAGTGTCCAGCATGAAGAAATCCGAAATGGGAAGGTTTAACATTTCCCCGGATGAGGACAGCAGCAGCTACAGTTCCAACAGCGATTTCAACTACTCCTATCCCATCAAGCAAGCTGCGCTGAAAAGGTAGAGATCTGTTTTGTTTTGTTTTTTTAAATGGCAGGTAGGGAATGGGAGGAGAATTGCATTGTCAGTGTCTTGTGTGAGAGTTGGCTACTAGTTAATGTTAATGCATTTTAAACAAAGACATTGTGACAACTGAAAGTGGGCCGTTTTGTGTTAAAGCAATGAATGGATATGTACATTTCAATCCAATTTAATATATATACATATTTTTGTGTTTTTTTTTCCTTAGCCATTACGCAGATGTAGATCCTGAAAACCAAAACTTTTTACTTGAATCGAATCTGGGGAAGAAGAAGTATGAAACAGACTTTGTAAGTTAAAAATAATTTGTGTGTGTGTGTGTCTGTGGCTTTGTGGAGTAAAGAATAGTTTTACTTTTAGATTTCAAAGCTAACTTGCCCAGAGCTGGTTTTCTCCATTTAATTATTGTTATATGTTTGGTTATCGTTTTCCCTCTATGTAGCATCCAGGTACTACTTCCTTTGGAATGTCAATATTTAATCTGAGCAATGCGATTGTGGGCAGTGGAATCCTTGGGCTTTCTTATGCCATGGCTAATACTGGAATTGCTCTTTTTATGTAAGTATGTGTAAGTAGTGAGTCTGCCATGCAGGGCAGTTAATGTGGTCATACAACATATTATTTTGGCTCCAGAAACTGGATTTACAGTTGAAGTAGTTGACTTAAAAATATTAACTTAACAATATGAGAACCCTCCCCCCAGGCTCTTATCTATTCAGTAAGTGCACAAAAATCAAGAAAGCCAATTGGGTAAGAAAAATAAGCATAGTGCCTCCAAACTCATTTTGGTAAGTTGACAAAGACACCCCAAGGACCTGTGACCTGGTTATGTATATCAGGAAAAGAACTAATTCCTCTAAGTATGTAGGGTGTGGTGATATTTACCTATATGGTTACATATTTAAAGAAAAATGAGTCATACTTTTTAAAGAAGCTGATTTTTTTTTTTTTAAAGTTGCCCAGTTTTCCGGTACTTTCTAGAATATTAGAATTATAGAAGGATTTTGTAATAGTGATTCTTTACCACTTTGAGAAGTGTCCCTGACCCTTAGAAAATGTAATGAAAAAATGTGGTAGACTTTCCAGAAAAACAAGAAAAATACTTGTAAATTTGAATATGCATTTTCAGTGATACTAGCTTTGTATCATAGCTCTTACGTGTACTTTCTATAGAGGATTTTTTATAAACTAAATTGTACAGATGAAGATGAAACCGTTAATGCATTTAGTGTCTTTGTGAGTGAGATACAGTTAACTACTGGGACCTTCTACTCAGATTTGTTTTTCCAGTAGAATAGAATATTCATGAATAGAAAGGCAGATCTTTGCAACTCTACTTCGTGGTGAGATTCCATCCAGAACCTCGCTTTGATGGGAATCTTGAATCTGACTGCCTTGCTTCATCAGCTTCAGACTTTTTGAGGCCTCTTAGTAAGGATGAGAAATTACATAGATCCTACAATTTTAAAGTATTTAATGGATAACTGGAATACCATCTTTGGATGCTGGTATAAAAACTTAAGGGCATTTTTAAATGTTGCCAATGTGATGATAGTACAGAAATAAAAAGGTAAAATAGCACCTCTGTTTCAAAGTAAAAGCAAACTTATAATATGTTATCTTGGTACTTTTGAAATTATTTATTCTTTAATGGGTGCTCATGCAAAGCTATATACATACATAGAGCAACCATGTATTTGATTAGCCATTTTATTAAATGATTAAATAATACCAAAAAGTGCTCCAGTGATTTTTTTTTTTTCTCCATCAGTATTTTACAAGGTGTACATTTATAGGTACCAGAGGTAAATGGGCCAGAGGCTGCATGTTGTCATAGTTTGGTTAAACAACGCTCTGCTAAAACAACTCTCTTTAACCAGATCACGTGGAATCAGTCTTCCAGATTATGTCTAGTCATTGTTATTTCTGTGTAAGAGATGAAAGGACATAATATGTCAGCAGACTTTGAAATAGCCATCATGCTGATGATGGTGTCATTTTCTGCCTTGGACTGACTAGAGTGTGTAAAAGTTTTGACATAAGAATGGCAGCTTGAGGCCACCTCCTATGTTGTTTTTTTTAACCAGCACCTCACAAGGTGGTGCTAGATGCAATTTGCCCTGATAGCATTAAGAAACTAAGTAACTTTCTACCAGTTTATGTGATTTTTGGGGGGGTGGGGGGAGGGCAGGAAGTGGATTTCCCTTGATTTGCCTGGAGGGAAGGAGAGTAAAAGTGGCCTGAATAAGAATCCCTGCCTTAAAGGAAAATTATTGTCCTTCTCCCTTGCCCCCTTGTTGAAGCCAAGTTCAAGAGCCAAGGGAGCTCCGCCCAGAGGTGGAGCTGATAGTCCGCTGCTTTGTGTTTTAGCATAGGCATTGTGGGTGGTGATATCGTTTTTCATACCACCTGTTGCAATGTACTATATCATCACAGTAGTTAATTCTGATTTGTACCCAGTTGTTTATAAAGCCTGTGGTTCCTGACACTTTCAATGTTAGTGTTGTTTTTCTTCTTTGTAATTCCATTCCTCTCCTTTTGAGTATTTATCAGTTAAATTTTATAAATTGCAAAACATTTCCTAGTATGGGTTTAGTGGCAGGTATTATCACCATCTTACAGATACAGCAAGCATACAGCTAATTCTTACAGTGCTCCTGCTGTGAGGCTGAAGGATAATGCACTGGACTGCAAGGTCTGTTTGGACCACTGGACGGTGTATTTTGATAAGTATCTTTGGCTCGGTAGATAAATCCCAGCCTATTAGACTATTTGAGACATAATGCATGAAGTTTGTAGCTAGCATAGTGGAAACGGTTGTTAAGTGCTGTCGAGTGGGTTCCGACTCATGGCGACCCTGTATAGAGTTTCCAAGGAGCGGCTAATGAGCTTGAATCGCTGAGCTTGCAGTTCAACCCTACTTGGTAGTCTAGCATATTAACCCATTGCGCCACACTAGGATTCTAGCATAGTGGGAGAGTGAACACCAATTCTTGAAGAGGACAGTCCTAGCACAAAAAATATTAGGACCAGGTGCATTTACTGTTTGAAATAGAACAACCAAACAGAATTATCTTTTAAATATAGCCATGCTAGCTTGTAACCCTGAACCTTTTCCTTCTTTCATCAGAATTCTCCTGTCATTTGTGTCCATATTTTCTCTTTATTCTGTCCATCTCCTTTTGAAGACTGCCAATGAAGGAGGTATGGTGGTATTCTTGTTTTGTTTTTTACTCCACCCCACCCCCCAACAATTTTGCATGCCTATCATGATTTTGTTCCTCTTTATAAAATACTTGCTTCATGCTTCTATGGTCTTCAAATTACAGGGTCTTTATTATATGAACAGTTGGGACAGAAGGCATTTGGATTGGTTGGAAAGCTGGCAGCCTCTGGATCAATCACAATGCAGAACATTGGAGGTAAGAATTTTCTAAAAAGCAATTTGGGTAGACTCATTGGTCTTTGTGTAGCACAGAGTCGTGGCACATTAGTTCCAGTGTCACAGGCCACATTTTGCACTTGTAATGGTATAATTTTGTTTTCCTCCAGCTATGTCAAGCTACCTCTTCATAGTGAAATATGAGTTACCTTTGGTGATCCAGGCATTAATGAACATTGAAGATAAAACTGGGTAGGTGCTAAGTAAGGTTGCTCATAAACAATTATAGTCTAAAATTGTTAGAAACATTTTATCAAAGTTGGATACCAAATGATTATCAGTAAACTATTATTCATAAATGTTCCCTTTGATAATACCAAAAAATCCCCCATAAGCTGATTTGAACTTTCTGAGAATGAAAGTCTAAATATAGTAGTAGCTACCCTTCTACTTTCTACTTCTGCAAACGTCGTTTCTAACCTGCATGTGAAAACAGGTTTTTGGACTTTACCTCCACTTTATGTTTACACTCTAGGAAGTTATAGCTGTGGAGCGCACACCCCAACCTATGTAAGGACTGCAGTTTGAATTATATCAAAAATCTATTTCTACCTTAACATTTCAAAGTTTGAAATTCTTAGCCCTAAATCTGTTCAAAAAGCGGATGATCAGAAAATGGTGGCCATGCTGTTGGAACGTTATCTATCTAGCGAATGTATTCACCCTAGTGGACTAACAGGTTTTTATCTAAAGTAAACATAGAAAGCATAATTTACTTCCCAACTTACATGTAGCTCATTACCTCAAAAATAAGAGAGGTGTGGTTATCTCTGGTGTGACTTTAGACATTTAATTTGACAAAGATAGTCTTTAAATATTAGTATTCTTTGATGTACTTGCTGCTAAAGTGGAATTCACAGGCAGTTAGGATTTGAAAATAGTGATGAAGCTAATGATTACCTAAGAAGGTAGAGTTATATCTAGAACTTAGGGACATACATGATATTTTCTTTTTAAGTTCAAAAGGTATTCTTTTGACTGCTTTTCGAGACAAGGTGGGTTGTGTCGCAATATGATCTGAATAACCTGTTAAGAAGTCCTGGCTTGGGGAATGGAGCTTTGGTTTTTGCCTATGCATTTTTCCCTAAGATTACAAATCTCTTGCTTGAAATGTTTACATGTGTATATTTGCTAACAAATGTCTGGGGGGTTGTTTTAGAATTCGCTTGTTTCTGGCTCTTGAAGTTTCAGGCTTAAAGCTATGACAAAGTTGGTATACAATCTTTCTAAAAATGCTAAAAGATAAGATTACTGGTATAACAATGCCACTTTGTTCCCTATATAAGTATCAAGCCTTTAAGGAGCATTCTGTGTTATGAATCAGCTGGCAGCCTTCCCAGAGCAAGGAACAAGACAATCGTTACACTGTTTCATACCGTTTCTAACGAGTGAATATTCATCTAGCTCACAAAGTTAGAAGTTTATTCCTATCTATAAGCTTTGGAACAAGTGATGTTTTCCAAACCTGGATTTGCATTTCTATAAAATGAGCCCTATTAGAAATTACAGCCTTACATAATTTCTTCCTCTGACTTAGCATGCAGATGCAGTTTTTGTGTTTTTAAAAGATGTGTCTATTCCTGAGGATATTTGTGACCGGTTTTTATCTTTATTTTTCTTCAATTCAGGTTGTGGTATCTGAATGGTGACTATTTGGTTCTATTGGTGTCTTTGGTGCTCATTCTTCCTCTGTCCCTGCTGAGAAATCTAGGTGAGCAATCCATCTCTAAAGAGAATTTAAATAAGCTTCTCATCAACTAGTTGACTTTCTCTCAATAGAAATGAGAGTTTAAAAGCCTTAGTAAACATACTTTTGGGGTTGCAGCATACAGTGCTTATAGGTTTTTCAAAGTCCTAGCAGGATAGCAATCAAGGAACCCCAAAACATTGGGAATTATATTTTCATTGACATTTGCAGTATCTTACTATGCTTCGTAAATAATACATATAAGTGATCATTTTTATCATCTTGGAATTTAACAAGTATTATTAAAGTTTTGCTCTTAGTATATAAGTATTAGAAATTTTAATATTACATCCACACTTTAGTGCCTAAAGTCTTCCAGACAGGATTCACTTACTCTGTGGAGAAAATATTTTTGCCCTAAATTGATTTCATTAAACTAAAGTTGATATGTTTCTCCATCTAGGATATCTGGGATATACCAGTGGCCTTTCCTTGTTGTGCATGATGTTCTTTCTGATAGTGGTAGGTAGCATTTTTTTAAAGCTGGAGATTTTTTTAGATAAGGTTTTTTTTATAAGCCTTGTCACATTATTCACCTTAACAAAATGTCAAATGTTTTATTTTTCAGGTGATTTGCAAGAAATTTCAGATACCTTGCCCAGTAGAAATTGCTTTGTTAATTAATGAAACAATGAACAACACTTTAAGACAGCCGGCAACTCTTACAACTTTTAGGCCGAGTGGGACACTTAACATAACTGAGGAAGATTCTTGCAGACCACATTACTTTATCTTCAACTCACAGGTAAATGCATAAAGTCTTCATTTTCTCAAAGGCGGACATTGGGGGGAAAGGAAAGACTATACATTAAAATTTTTTAAAATCACTTAATTAGGGTAAAAGAAGGAAAGCTAATAGGGTACTGGTTTAGAAAATTTAGGATTAGCTAGTTAATTATTGAGGACTCCTGGTGTGGCATTGTAGGATAAGCACTGGACTGCGATCCACAAAGTCAGGAGTTCAAACCCATCAGTTGCTTTATAGAAACCATCCTATACAGGGTTGCTACAAGCCAGAACCCACTCAATAAAACTTACAACAACAACAACAGTTGATTGTTGAGGACTGGAAAGGATGTATCAAATATGTTGGTTTATAGATGAAGCTAGATTGAACAATACAATAATTATAATGGTGTTAATAATCGACACATTTATTAATAGGGATATTAATCACTGGAATAGATTTAGAAGAGAACATGAATTTTGCAAGGAATATAAGTAGTTTAGGCTTTGGTTCTAAGACTTGCAAATAGAAACTACAAGCTGTAAAACGGAGGCTTGTGAGTTTGATAATGAGTAAGCTTTTACCTTCTTTTCAGACTGTATATGCCGTGCCGATTCTGACCTTTTCATTTGTCTGCCACCCTGCTATTCTTCCCATTTACGAAGAGCTGAAAGAGTAAATATTCTATTTTTAAATAAATTTTTAAGGAAAATTAGAAAAATATTTTACCACATTGTTATTATCGTTACTGAAATTTAAGTGCATTTTCCTTGGAATTTTCATAGCCGTAGCCGTAGAAGAATGATGAATGTGTCCAAGATTTCATTTTTTGCCATGTTTCTCATGTACCTGCTTGCTGCCCTTTTTGGATACCTGACATTTTATGGTAAATAATATCTAGTTTACAAAGTTTATTAAAACAAAATTTACCCCTTTATATGGTAGTTCCAGACTTAGAAAAAATTCACTCTGTATTGGTAGGTTTCCTATTTGTGATAAAGAATTGCATTTAGAGTTTAGTGTTTCCTTTGGTGCATTTTATCAATCATTTCTAGAATCCAGGTTCACAGATAGACCATTCATCTCTTTAATATGACGTTCTTGCCTCTAAGTTCATCCTACTTACCTCGCTTATCACCTTCAAATTATACAACACATGCAAGCTAGAAACCAAGGGATTTCACAATTTGACTCCTGTTGTTTTTAATGGAGATCATGTGGCTAAATCTCTGCTCAGTATTTAGAAAAACTTTCCTTCAATGTTTTTTTAATTGCATTGACCATAATTCCAAATTAATCTTATTATAGCCTCTTAGTTTATAGTCGTTTTGTGGGTAGCTAATAACTCTGAGGCAAATCTTGTTTAAATTTAGATTTACTACTTAATCTCCAGAGGACACAGCACATTTGAAGCTCTCTTTGTCTTTCCCCATAGGACACGTTGAGGCAGAATTGCTTCATACATACTCTACTGTCATGGCCACTGATATCCTTCTCCTCATTGTCCGTTTGGCCGTGTTGGTGGCTGTCACCCTGACAGTACCAGTTGTTATTTTCCCGGTAAGTAGTCACTCTGCCTTCAGTGGGAATGAACTTTTAGGGTTGTAAAGATTTGTGAGATTTTCATCTTCTGCAGGAAGAGCAAAACTACTAGAGAGCACAGTGGAAGTCCATCCCCTCCCCCCCACACACACATACAACCCCTCCCACCAATATAAATTGTGGTTTTAAAAAAATATCCTGGGTTCCATCATGGAACATATATATAGAATGTTGTCAAGTGTATAGATATTCTGAAAACAGCATTGAAGGATGCACAATTTTTAGAAATAGATGTTCTTTGAGATGTATTTTCTACTTTGTGTTTTCTCGTTTTATTACAATTTGATAGCCTTTCTTTTTTACAGATCCGGAGTTCCATAACTCAGTTATTGTGTGCTGGAAAAGATTTCAGTTGGTGGCGTCATAGTCTCATTACAGTGTCTGTCTTGGCATTCACGAACTTGCTTGTCATCTTTGTACCGACTATTAGGGACATCTTTGGTTTCATTGGTAAGTTTTAGGAAGTATGCATCAAAGTTGATTCAAATATCAGGGTGATTTTTTTTTTAAAGTACATTTCATTGAGCTTTTGGTAAAAGCAAAACAGCATTTTAGATTCATTTGCCAATTTCCCTGCTAATTCAGTGTGACATTAGTTACATTGATCACAGTATGTCACCATTCTCTTTCATTGGATTCTGCTCTATTTCCAGTATTCTGGCTTAAATTCCTTGCCCTCTTATCCTCTCATCTTTGCCTTTGAGTAGTTGTCAATCTTTTTGTCTCAAGTAAGCAAAACCACTGCCATTGAGTCAATTCCAATTTAGAGCCACCCTACATAGGGTTTCTGAGGCTATAAATCTCTATAGGAGCAGAAAGCTTCATCTTTCTCCCACACTATATAGACTAATTGAGACTAAAATTTCACGGGAGCAGACCCCTTCATCTTTCTTCTTAAGAGTGGTTAGTGGATTTGAACCACCAACGCCTCTCTCACAGTGCCATCAGGACTATTTTGATCTCAGATTAGAGCACTGCTTCTTATGAGTAATATTTTGTGTGCAGCTGTGCTGTTTCACAAAAAGGTGATTTCTGGATACTCTTGGTTCTGAATGGGTTTAAAAGTGTCTCAGGGCAGTAGTTCCAGGGAGTTCTTTGTTCTGTGCTGCTCCAGTTTTGGGGGGTTTTTGTTTTTAAAATAAGATTTGGAGTTTACATTTTTCTCCCATCTGAGACTGTCTACTGAGATCCTGGTCAAAATGGCCAGTGGTGGGTGGTAACCAGACACTGTTTAGATCTTCTGGTCTCAGGATCAGTGAGGTTGGGACTCATGTAGACTTGATTCTTAAAAACTTTTAAGACCCCACCCTACCCAGAGAAGCAGTGATGCCTGAGATGGAGGCAGAGATGATGACATAGAGCGATGGAGCAGCTGGGGTTTTAGATCCAGAGAGGGAGAGGGACTGTGCTGAATACTGGGGGTAGGGGTGGAGGGGATTGTGGGGGACAGGCTTGCAGGGTATACCCTTTGGTTGGTTGGTTGATGATGCATGGAGGGGATTGTAACCATGGCAATGAGATGATATATGATAGAATGAATATAAAACTAATGTTCTCCCATGTAAACGATCACATAATTCACAGTAAAACATTAAAAAAAAACCAAAAAACTTTAAGATCCTATACCCATTTCACTAGGATACAGATCATGATTTTGTGAACTACATTATGCCAGTTAACTGAATTGTCTAGGAGACTGTGGCCCTAACTTTTCAATCCCAGAAAACCAATCTTAGAAGATATTTGGTTATGTATGAGGAAGGAGGGATCTGGACTTGTGTCTTCAATGAATATGTATGCCTGCACCCACATATTTGTGTATTATTCAGTTCTGTCCAATCAGTTCCAACTCATAGCAATCCTGTATAGGGTTTCCGTGGAGCGACTAGTGGCTTTGAGCCTCCGTCCTTTTTCAATCAACCTTGCAGTTTAGTGTTTATCTGACAGCACCACACTAAGATTCCACATATTTCAATTGTTGTTTAGTGCCTTCGAGTCAGTTCCAATTCATAGCGACCCTTATTAGGGTGTCCAAGGAGCAGCTGGTGAATTTGAACCACCAACCTTGTGGTTCAAACCAACCTGCAGCCCAGTGCGTTAACCCACAGCACCACACCAGCACTCCACATATTTCTATAGACATGATATTGATAGATGCTTTTCTGTTCTCACCCACGTATACATCTCTGCCTGCCCATAACCAATATTCCTACATTCATCCAAGATCTGCTCAAATACTTGGTTGTGCTATGCTTACTACATCTACATTTGGTGCAACTTCGCCCATAACCAAAATAACGGGATCTTAAGATTAAATAAATGATGAGAGTAGTTTTACTGAGTTCACTTTTCTCTTTATATTAACAGGTGCATCTGCAGCTGCTATGTTGATTTTTATTCTCCCATCTGCCTTCTATATCAAATTAGTGAAAAAAGAATCTATGAAGTCTATACAGAAGATTGGGGTGAGTAAGAGATTCCTCAACTAAATAAAAAAAAATACTGTCATTTTCTGCCCTTATTTTTCACTGTCATTCTTTTTGCTGATTAAAGTACTAGAATTGTTTATAAGCCAACAACTGTTGTCTTGCTCAAGATTTTCTACTGGCTGTAATTGCAGAGTAGGATTACGAGTGTGTTTCTTAGACCTTTAGATTTGACTCGAGCTGCATGACTTAGGTTTAGTTTGTCATCTCCTGCTGGTGTAGTGGGTTAAGCATCTGACTCGTTGGTTCAAACCCATGAACTGTTCCTGAGAGAGAAAGATGAGGCTATCTGCTCCTGTAAAGTTTTAGTCTCAGAAACTCTCTGGTACAGTTTCATGGTTCGGTTTTGACTTCGTTTTTGCTTTAAAAAATGCAATTAAAAAAACCCAACAAGTCAAGTTTTATATGTATATCAGTTTATTAAAGTCAATTACTTTTCTATTTGCTACAAAGGCAGTTGTTTTGTGCTTATAGATTTAACCCCTTACTTAGAACTGTTAAAATATTTTAAACAAGGTAAAACTGTATGTCTATAGAAAGAATTCTGGTATGGTGCTGCAGGATAATGTGCTTGGACCTCAAGGTTGGCGATTCAAACTCACCAGCCATTCCTTGGAAACCCTATACAGGGTTGCTGAGTTGGAACCAACATGACTTAATAGTAGAAAGACTATGGGTCCTCATGTGGCACTGTAGGATAAGCACTAGACTGCTAACCACAAAGTTGGTAGTTCACACCTACCGACTGCTCTTTGAAATCCTGTACAGGGTCACTGTGGGTTGGAACCTACTCAGTGGCACACAACAACAGCCGAGTATAGCCTTTAAACTGATCTACTCTGGAAACCTTTGCCTAACTTGCAAGAGTTTTTTTAAAAATAAGTTTTTTTAAAAAGTGTAGGAAGTTTTCAATGTAAATGCCAACCAGTCAGAAATTTTGTTCAAAGTTTCCAGTAACTGCATAAAAGCACTTTAAGAATCCTAATTAATCATAGCGCACTTATTGATGCAACAAATTGTGTGTTGTCTAACTGCATATTCTCTGTTAAACTTGCATTGCAAAAAAAGAAGTATAGGAAAAGGAATGTGTCACATAATATGTTCTGTTGTTTGCTTGCTGACCAGTTGTCTTTGCTTCTCCCCATGCAGGCTGTGTTCTTCCTGTTAAGCGGCATAGTGGTGATGACTGGAAGCATGACCTTGATTGTTTTGGATTGGGTGCACAATGCCCCTGGGGGTGGCCACTAACTGGCACCACTCAGACTCCAGGAGTCCATTTGATGCCAGTGTTGGGTCAACTCTCAACTAACTATGAAATCTCACATAATGTTTTCAGTTTCACTTCCTTTTGAAGTGCAGATTCCTCGCTGGTTCTTCTGAGTACAGAATAAGTGAACTCTTTCATGAAACTATTCTGTATGATAGAAATGGATATTAACAGCAAAACAACGAGTCTCGGGTGAAGGGAAGTGACAATTATATTCCATTCCAGAGAATGGATGAACTCTTAACTTTTATCAGGCCACATGTTTGGCTGTGTCATTGTTAAACTTGGATATTTTATGATTTTACTTGAATGTGCCTAATGGAACCATTCGATGTGAGAAACTATTCTTAATTTACAGCAAAGTATTGAAATAACCATTGAGAAAAACACTGTTACTTTTTGTACCAAAAATACTAATAGACCTCAAAAGCACTATTTTACTTTTAAAAAGTTGTGTTTTTTTTTTTTTTGAACTTTATCCAGAAACAGTTGTCAATAAATTCCTTTAAAAATGTTATTGGTATTTAAAAACAAGCATTAGGAAATGAATGATTTGCCATTTTGTAGGCATTCTAAGCCAAATAATTTTTTACCCAAAATAGTTTTTAGAGAAAATGATGTAATTGAAAACTTAAACCACTGAATATGGACGTAGTTTTCTCCATTCAAAATTTCATCATTACTTTAAAGGAGAATTAATGGATTGTTGTTATGCCAAATCAGATGAACTCCATTCATCACTTCTTTATCCCTAAATAATCTGGTTCATACAGACTCTGAGATGCTTATGGCTTCAACCTATTAGAAGGGAAGATAATGCAGACTTTTCTGTGGGAAGAAATTTAAAAACTAATTTTGAGGTACCAAATAGTGCAATTGGGTAAAACAGGGTTTATTCAGTTGCATCTGTATCCAGAGGTACATTGACTGCTCTGGGTTCTTTTGTTTTTTGTTTTTGTTTTTGTTTTTTGGGCCAGCCCTTTTGGACATTGCTTCCAGCAGTGGAAAGTGTGGGTATTTGGTGGCTATAGGCCAAAATTGTTCTATCCAGTGAGTACAACTTCAAAATGCTCATCTACTACTGGAAGTGTGAAATACTTGATAATGTATGGCTTAGTTGTGTTAATGTTTTGTGTACAGTAGAGGTCTAATCCACAGGTTACACCGGTATTTGGTATAATACAAGTTCTCTTTGTATAGGCCACTGGGTTTCTCATGCAGTAAGCTTTTAAACTCATGCACTGGATTGTCATCTCATTCTTGTACAACTTGGAATTCTTTGTTTACATCCTACAAATGGTTAGCTAGGGAACACAGTGCAATTTGAGTGTACGTAGTTGTTTGGCCCAGCTGCATGTTCACCCTTCCATGTCAATCCTCATTAGAAGTGAAAACATTACTTTTAAACTTGGCTTTAAGAGCACATTTATTGTACGTTAACGGTGTATGGTGAATATATTATTAAATAATGTGGTACTTTGCTCATCAGGCATAATGTCTAAAGTCTAATATACATAATTCCATTAGTGGTTGAGGGAAACAAATAATGGAATCATCAGTTGGTCATCCAGCTCTAAGATTATCTCTTGAGCAAAACCTTTTTAGTTTAGGGCTAGAGCCAGAAATGTGGCAGACATGGTTTTTATGTTAAGCATTCTTGTATTATATGTGACTAAATTACAAGCAGGATAATGTCTAATTAAAGACCCTTATGGAACTGGAAGACGTCTTGTAGTGCTACATTGGGTGAAACCAATGGTCCATTTCTGTTTATTTCTATGGAAATAAAATAATTAGGGACCATCTGGAAAGGCAGTGAGAAGATGGATTCTACAACACTGCTTTCATTTATGGGGCTTGGTACTCCATTTGAATCCAGAACCTCACCTCTAGTTCAGACTAACAATTTGCCATTCTACTTGTTACTTGAGTTCATGGAATGAAAAAGTGCTGACTGCTTGCATTCCTGGAATGGATTGCTGATTTTATGTCCAATCTGCCAAGGAATGCCAAGTAAAAGTTTGTTTTTTCCCTACACTACATCCTTTCAGATGTGAGAAAATACTGTTTAATGGTATCCAGGAAGGAGTGGAAAAAGAATCTCCTGCAGCAAATCATTGTGGGGAGGTTCCTTCAATCCTATGGCTATTTGACATTGAAAATCTGCTGTCTTGGGTAAATTCCAATGCATGATTTTCTTGGAGCCATCTCGTCTGCCTTGAGGTTCCTGAACAGTGAATTCCCATTAATGAGCAGTCTTCAGTATTAAAACCACTGTCTTGTCACCTCATTTTGCATTACTGTCTTCCGTGGATGTTTCAGTTATAACTGTAATGTTATTTATAGAGCAGCAGTAATCCATTAAAGCTAACCTATTTTTCAATATTTATGATAATCTATGTACATACATTGTCTGTCCATATGTATTTGTAAATAGATGTATATAATGTCAGGTTTGGGTCTTGGGCTTAATTGTATATAGTCCTGTAAGTTTCTTAACTGCATTTTGATGAATTCATACTACATTTCTCTTAAGAATCGTCCATAGAGTACCTGTATAGCCTTCATTATAAGCAAATTGGCAAAATTGTATAAGAACACACTGAAAATACAAGCTAGTGTTAATTTAAATTCTATTTTCAATAAAACCAGTTGAACATCCTTTTTTTTTTCTTCATGAAAACTTGGTGCAAGTTCAGATCTCTTATTTAAGTTTTAAATAAGGCCTGAAATTTCAAAATGCAGTGGTTATCAAAATGTGATCTACTATAATGAAATCAAATGTGATCTAGTATAAAGAAAGACCTTTGAGAACCTGGGTGTGTTAACTGTATATAGTGTAAATATCCCCACCTTAATGTTAGAGGCCAACAATTCTAGTATGACTTGTTGGTAAAGAGTGCTACACGGTTTCAATGAAACAATGTATGTTTTAACTGAATTAAAATAAATACATGCTTAATCCTGAGTAGCATTGTTTTCTTTTTGAGCTAATAGGATAAGCAGCATCTGATGTATTTTGTATTGTAATGATAACACTGAGGACTTAGGTGCCTAATAAATGCTCATGATTTAAAATGTCAGAAATGTCTATTTTACTTAAAGTTCCTAAAAATTAAAATTTACAAAGAGAAAAGGAATGAAGTTGTTTTGTTTTCTAATTACAAATATTAAGGACCTTAACTCTTGGTTCTGCAGATCAGAGTGAATAAGCCAGGAGTGTTATCAGAAATCAGTCGGGAAGCTGCTTCCCAGAGCAGTTGCCTAGAAACTGATTCCCTAAGTCTGGAATGAGGATTCCATATGTCCTAGGATCTTTTTTCCTTGGTGAAAACTACTCAGGTGATACTTACGTAGGATTACAACTCAGAAGCACTGGACTAGATCTGGTTAGTTTAGCTATAGTGAATTAACTCACCTCGGGGAAAGGAGGAAACAAATTTGGTCAAGATGCTATTTAGGTTGACCTGGGTAGAGTTACTAAGAGCACAGGGTAGCTCAGGTATAGTTTATTGACAGCTTTTAAGAATTTGGGTTGTACAACTGACGTATCAAGCTAAAACCAGATAATTTCAAAGAATTGCAGGTGTGCCTGGGACATGGGAACTTTCTCCATGCAACAACCAGTTACTGTCAAATGAGCCCTAGTGTGGCGCTGTGGGTTAATGAGCTGGCTGGATTGCAAAGTCAGTTTGAATGGCAAGGTCAGTGGCTCAAGCTCACCAGTTGCTCCTCGGAAATCCTGTACAGGGTCACTATGGGTCGGAACCAACTCGATGGCATTTAACAGCAACTGTCGAACAAGGACCTCTGGTAGCAGTTCAGATCTGCCAGCTGTGCTGAGGAAGAAAGATGAGGCTTTCTACTCCTGTAAAGATTTACAGCCTCTGAACCCCTATACAGGGTTGCTATGAATCGGAACCCACTCCACAGTGTGTCACCACCACCATTGTCCAACTGTGGTCAAATCTGAAACAAAACTCCACTGTCATCAAGTTGATTCTGACTCGGCAACCCCATAGGACAGTGTAGAACTGATCCTTTAGGTGTCCGAGACAATCTATGTGAGCAGACGGCCTCATCATCCTCCCATAGAATGGCTGGTGGGTTGGAACTACTGACTTTGTGATTAACAGCCTCATACTTAACCCACTGTGTTACTAGGGCTCCTCTTGTGTTCAAATGGGAGGGAATATTTGTGATTAGAAGGTGCAGCAGAATTTGCAACAGCTGGATTGAATAACAAAGGACAGTTGTGTAACTTTCAGATACTCAGAATTCAACAAGTCCCCATCTGCTCCCATCAAGATTTACAGTCTCAGAAACCCACTATAGGGCCACTATGAGTTGGAATAAACTTCATGATAGCCTGGCTTTTGGGTACTGTTGCATAGTAATCATTGCCGGCTAAGCAATCCTCTGGTGCCATCACCTTAGCTTCCAAGGTAAGGATTCTGTCTGGAATGAAGGCCCTTTCCTTTTCAAGGGAGTCAGCCAGTCAGGCTGGCCACTCTTCAAGACACACTCGCCATCTCCTGCCACTCTTCATCTAAGGGTCCCTGATGATACCAAAAGATCAATGAAAACCACCAGAGGCTCTGTGTGAGACGGTTGAAGCTGTCTGCTTTCACATTTACAGCTTGGAAAACCCTATGAAACAGTTCCACTGTGTCCTATGGGGGCCCTATATGAGCCGGTATGGGTTGTATTGATCTACCTTGGTAGTGTTGTAGTTGGACAGTTTAATACGGTCTGCCTGCTACTCTCTTGTGGGAAAGCTCCTCAGAGCCCCGCACTACTTTGGGGGTAATGTTGTTGCTGTTAAATGTCATCAAGTCAGTTCTGTCTCATAGCTACCCTATATAGGGTTTCCAAAGAGCAGCTGGTGAGCTTGAACTGCTAACCTTGCAGTTCAAACCAACTTCTGGGTGTGATAGGCCTATCATATCTATACTTTGAGTTCAAAAATTATTCCAAAATT